TCTTCAATGCTCCGTAGGAAAATAAGACCCACCTTGTTATTTTTGGTAGCAAACTTCCTGCTAAGAAGCAGCAAATACATTTTTCTCTCTCTTGCGGGGGATCGGCGCTGATCAAAAACCTGGCGCAGCTCCAGGGGGACCGTCAGCATTTGCTGCTACCTGAGAGATGAATCATGGGGATCTCATTTCCTCGTTCACGATGAGCAAAGTGCCTGCAGCTCTTGCAAGGGCACAGATGAGGCCTGGGCTGCTCGGGGCATAGCACGATGCGTCCAGCTCCTGGGGTGTTGATCAATACTGGGCAGCCCCGGAGGGACGAGCTGTGCTGGGGATGTGCAGACAGGAAGGTGTGTTGTGCAACGGGCAGCAATCAGAGCAGCCCTGAGCACCGTGCACCCTTGGCTATCTGTTTGTGCCTCCAGTTTGCTAATGACAAGGGTTATGAGTTTTCCCATGTGTGCGCTATCGTAAGCTGTTCTCAGTGCAGTGGAAACTAGCCACCGTCTTCTGTTGGCTGAGCAGGCTTTGCCTTCGTTGCATTTCTGCTCTGTTGGTCCTCAGGTGTGCTCTGCACAAGGCTCAGGTTTTGCTTCTGTGGTGTTTCAGAGCTGTGCTGGGATTCCTTGCAGCAATGTTTGGAGCTGCCCCAAAACGGCCCCAGTGGCAGGATGGGGCTTGGCCATTTCTCCTGGTCTGGGGGCACTTCATAGGCTCGTGCACTGGTATGGCTGAGTTGCCAATTAGGCTTTCTTGAGTGTTTTAATTAAAACACCAGGCATCAGTCTTGCTTGACCCTATGGTTGGGTGGGTCCTGCTGAGTGCTTGCTAAATTTGAATGTAAAATCACAGAGACTTTGGACAGCACTCATTAGGATGATGATGACTGATGAACTCAGCTGTAAAAACAGGCTGTGCAGGAGCACCAATCCACGTTTATTTTGCTGGCAGAATGGGGCTCTCCAGCAGTTGCCCTGTTATATTAAAGCAATCTGGATGCTTCCCAAGCTGGGAAGGCAGAGGAGTTCCTCATTTCTCTGCAATCCCTGGTGACTGCTGAAGCCAGCACAGAGCTGTCAGTGTGTTATGGATAGAGTGTGAGGGCTCTGCTGGTCACAGGAGCTGGGCTCAGCGTTGCAAAAGTGAGAAACTGAAGTTTCATCTCAGGGAAAAAGAAATTTAGCATTACTGCCGGGAATTGAACCTCGCAGCCCTGCCTTGACCCCCTGGATTGCCTGGAGCAAAGATGTCGTTGCTTCAGGGTGTGATGAAATGGTGGAGAGACCCTGCAAGAGGCAGGAGCACAGAAAGCAGAGATGTGAGGTGAGAGCTGGCTGGTGTGTGTCATTGCATTGCCATCCCTGTCCAGTGGAGATCTCCATCTCTTTAATCAGAAAGCACAGTACTTGGATTGAGCATCCTGGTGTGGCCAATGCAATGATTTCCCTTCCTCCTTCCATATCACTGTACAGTAGGGCGAGTCTTTGTTAGAGCTATGCTCAGCCCCTTTCACAAATTAATAGATAGCATAGGATGAAAAAACATCTCAGGGATCACACATCTCAGTCCTGCAAACCCCCCCAGGGTTCAGTTCCAGCACAGGGAGCCGAGCCCTCGGGATACATCAGGATGGAGTGATTGAGAGAACAAAGAGGAAAGCAAACGGCGGCTGTTCCTGTTGGGTCCCCGAGCTGAGGGCAAGCCGCCATGAGTCATCATGAAACCATCTGCGTGTCGAGGAGACACACGGGGCTCAGTGCAGCCCGACACACTCGCATGGGAAGGAGCTTCGCCTAAAACCGGCGGCTTGATGAGAACCACTGCCCCCCGCAGGGCCCTGAGCTGCTGCAGGGGCAATGGGAGGAATCGCTTTGCTTTGCACATCCCACTGTCCAACCCTGGTGCTTTGCACATCCCATCGCCCAGCCCTGGGGTAGCAGCTGCAGATGTAATGGGAGGAATGGCTTTGCACATCCCCTAGCCCCTCATATCCATTGGTTTTGCTCGTGATGCTCCTTCTGCTGTGCTTGGTTTCTGGGACAGCTGCAGTAGGGCTGCTTTCCTGGGCTTGGGTCTGTGCTGGAAAAGGAGACAGAGTGCTCAGCTCTGCTCTGTAACACTTCAGCATTGTCAGTAACTATTAAAGGCAGTGCAACAGGGTGGAAATGGGCAGGTAGAGGGCTTTAGCAGTACTTTTGTAGGGATGTTTTGATATATGTTGAGCCCTTTCTTTTTTTCCATTTGCCTTGCATCTTGCTACGCTCTTCAGAAAGAAAGGAGTTGGTGATAGGAACCTGCAAAGCACCAATTTCAGTCACATGGGGCTAAAATCTAGGGCACAGAGAGGCATTAGCATGGCCCAAAAAGTTAAAAAAAAAAAAACACCATTAAATAACAAGTGTTAACTGTAACCACAACTGAAATCGGGAGAGTTCCAAAAGCTCTTGCAGTTTTGATTTTGTCTTTTTGGTGCTTCGGTGCCCTCATGGCACTGAAATTTGGGTCCCTATCCTGTGTGGCCATTTGAAATGGTGCTGGTGCCCAAAGGCACGCTTCCTCCCTGTTAGCAGAAGAGTGGCTTTCAGGAAAGGTTCCAAAGAGGATAAGATGGAAAAGAAAAAAAACAGAAGGAATTTCTGCTCCAGTCATGGGCAATCTGATGCATTTCCTTGGTGTGTTCCCCCGTTTGAAGTGATATTTGCTTATGGAGGAAGGAAAAGCTAACGCTTGGGTATCCCAAAGTCCTCTGGAGTTTGTGTGCTCGCATGTGAGCGATTGAACCGAAGCAGTGGTGAAACCACGACCGTTTCAGCTGTGCAAACCCTGCATGGATGCTCTCCTTCTCTTCCCTCTGTGCTCTCCTCGAATCCAGGTGTCTTTCTGATGGAGAAGGGAAGGATGGAGAGGCCGCCCTCATGGCAGCGCCTCATAGAACTGCTGGTGCCCATAGCAGTGATTCACCCGCACAGCTCGCCTGTTTCACCATTAAATCATCTGACGTTGGGGTTGTGCAAGCCTGGACTTTGCTGGTTGTCCCTATCCCTGCTTCCGTGCCTCAGTGTGTGCTCGAAGCACGGGCTGTTTTGCTGGGCTTTTGGGGAGGAAAATAAAGATTAGGAGCGTTTTCTTGGCTTTGCTGTTGGAAGGAAGCCCTGTTGGTGGGTTGCAGTGGGAGCTGGGTGGCTTTCCAAGCAGCATTGGCTGCATGATGGCAGCTCAGGTCAACCACTCTGCTGAGTCTGTGTTCTGGTTGGTTCCTCAAGTCCTGCATTGCTTCACCCTGCGGGAGCTGAGGCTCTGGTGAACATCCTCCTCCAATTCTTTTCCCATAGGGCTTAATGGTTATTTCTATTGTTTTAACTCCTACCTGGTTTGTCAGCGTGCAATCAATACCAGACTGCAATCTTTGCAGCAGCACTGCTGCCCCGTTGGAGGAGGTCATGCAGTGGGGATGGGGCTCAAGGAGCCCTCAGGCAGTGGGGTTTTGCTCTCAGGAAAAAAAGAAAAGAGATACCCAGTGAGGAAACCATTTGCTTCCGTGGGATAAGAAATAAAACCAACAAACCAAACAAGCAGAAAACCACCGCCTGTGAGAGATGTGACAGTCCCACGCTGTTACTGTAACACCCAGACAGACTGAGATTGGCAGGAACTACATCAGCACTACGTGGTGTGGGATAATGAATGCAGCACCGCAGCCAGAATATGGCACAGCACATCTTGGGGTGCACGAGCAGCTGCAATGCCAAAGCCCTGCTTTATAGAATACCCATTCTGTTGTATTTCTCCATAAGGGCTGATGTTTGAGGTGTGTGCTGGTGGGTTTGGGGCACCCAGAGGGCTGCAACCTGTCCTGATGCATGCAGCACATGTAGGGGCAGGATGCAGCCTGCATGGTGCATGTGCCACGTTCTGCTTTGAGGTGGGTGTGAGTCACAGCTGTGACTTGGGATGGTCCTGCTGTGTCACACTGCATGCTGCTGTTTATTCTTCCTCCTTTTTTTTTTGTCCAGCAGTGGGAGAGACTGCTGTGGATAGGGATGGCCAGAGGGCACGGCCAGAAGTGACTCACAGCATTGCTCCTCTGCTGGCACTGTCATCGTCAGTGAGGGATTCTGGCTTTGGTTTCCCAGACAACATCTGCAGGGATTTCCAGAGCCTCCTTCTAAAAACTCCTTGGGGATGAGACATGCACAGTCACAGGTTTGTGTGTTTCATCCACCAGGTCAGCGTCCCGTCGCAGACATCCCTGTGTTTCGGTGACAAAACAGCACAGACACACAGCCTGCACGCAGCCCCAGCCCTTGGGTGTCACAGCTGTGCTCTGTGTCCTGCACCGAGCTGCTCCAGCAGCTCAGGTAACTGGAAACCTTCCTGCTCTGTACAGTACGAGGCATCCCATCCGCTTCCTTCCTGTGGTTATTTCAGCAGAGTGACTGAGCTTTACTGAAAAACTCACCGCCAAGCTGACTCAGCCTTTTCCCTAGGCAGGGGCAGGTGCTGAGCTCCCTGGGCTCCTACCTGGAACTGCTGCATTGGGTGCTGTGTGCCCAGGGCAGACAAGTCGTGTGGAAGGGGGCTGGTGTTAGTGTGGGGTGGTATCTCCTGTCTGATCTGGGCTCAAGGCCTCGTCCTGATGGAGAGCAAAGTGAAGCCGTAGGATCATTGAGTTGGAAAAGGCTGTAGGATGGCCAGGTCCAACCCCACCCCATCCATACTCTGCACACTGCATCCCTCATTGCCACCTATGGACTTCACAGGGCAGAGTTTCTCTGCCATAACACAATGGCAAAGGGGTTTGTCCCAGTGAATATTTCATTGGAAACTTGCATTTAAATGTGAGTCTCCTGTGTCTTCTTCCTTCTCTGATCATTAATGCATGCCTTGAGTCCTTGGTGGTCCTCCCTGCATGCACCCTTTCCCCATTGCCTCCATACATTGGTGATGCTGTACAGCCACCTTAACAGCTTGGAAGAACAGAGGAGAGCCTTTGTTTGCCACAAGGTCTTTATTAACAAAAACAATATCTTTCTTTCCATGCAAACTGATGGTGCATCTCATGCAGTGACAGCAGCTGGGGCTGTGCCCACTTCCAGTGAGGATCCAGCAGTGCCCTGAGCCAACGGCACTGCACTGGGAATGCTTCCCATGGGGATGCCCTTCCATCTCCATACGCACCAAAACAGAACAAATCACATATAAATAGTCACTTTTCAGCAATAATTTACAATGTACAGGAAAGCAAACAGCAAACTGGCTGTGTTTCATCGTCCTGGTGCACAAACACTTCTAAATATTAGAAGCAAATGCCCTCCAGGTCTTGGGATGTTCCTCCACCTCCTCTTGCAAATTAGAAACGAAACCAAGTATTGCCAGTGCTGCATGAGGCTCTATGGATTTGAATACAAATTACTCAACCCACCTTAAAATGGTGGTGAATTAAATATCCTCTAGCTTCTAAAAATTAATATATATATATATATAATAAACACTAAATAAAACTCAACCAAAGACTGAAAACTACCCGAGTTAATTCTTCAAAGTGCAGAGTGTCCAACCCAGCAGCTCTGGAAGCCAGTCGACAGCAGCCTCTAAATCAAGTTCTATTAGAACCAACTGCTTAATTCCTACCATTAATTCTCTTTGACCTGGAACAGCATACAGGCTGGGGGAAATAGCCAGGGTTAATTGAGCTATTGCTGAGGCAGTCACGAATTGTTTGCTCTCCTCCACACGGCTTTCCATGCAAAGCAGGAGAAAACCAACCTGCTTTCTGTTATTCCTGGTCGTTTTGCTCAGTGCAAGGCCGTGTGATGATTCTGAATGTCTCAGTGCCCAATTGCAAGTGCAAAACCAGAGATGGGGACGTGGTTACGGAAAGAAAGAGCTGATTGCTTAAATAAATCATAGCTGCAAAGAAGAGGAGCAGAGGGCTCAGCTGGTGTTTGCAGTTGGGCTTTGCTGAGCCCTGAGCTGGGTTTGCTGCTGCCCAACGACTGTGCTCAGAGCAATTGCATTCAGGGTGAACTTGGCTCATTCCCCAGAGGGATGGGAGCTCTGAAGCGACAAATACCACAGCGCTATCATAAATGGTACAAAGCACTGACCAATAAATAGTTCACAAACCAATAACACAACGTTGTAAACAATAAATAGTTCACAAACCAAAACACACTGAGGTATGAGGCAAAAAAAGAAATAAATATTAAATTCATTTGGAAGGGAAAAAAAAAATAACCAAAAACACTTAAATAGAAAACTGAACGTTAAGCTGCCACTGAGCTGTAAGCCTTGGGCTGAACCCCAGCACAGCACGGCGTGCTTCGTAACACCACAGGGTTGGGCTGAGAGCAGCCGCGTGCGCTCACTTCCTCCTCCTCATCAGCAGGTACTCCTCGATGTAGTTGATGAAGATGTCGAACTCCCCCATGGCTTTGTAGATCCCGTTCTCATCCATCTGCAGGTGAAAGGCAGCCCGTGATTCATCGGCTGCACGCGCGGTGCAGAATCCCCAGCCGTGCTCTGCTTCCACCGAAACCTCCGCTCTCTCCCCACCCACTGAAGGAACGCGGCGGCTGCTCTGAGCTGAGCTGCGCTGCGTCGGCACATCTTTGGCACCCTCTGAGTGCGTGGATCCAGCAGCAAAACCGACCTGCAGGCACCCACCTTCTCGAACGTCTCCTTGATCTGCTTGATGGCTTTGCTCCTCTTCTCGCAGGTGAAGAAGCGGTGCTGCAGAGGTGAGAGGCGGTGCGTTAACTCAGGGCTGTTCCTTCCTGCTGCTCCTGGGGTGACTCAGCCCATGCTGCGTGGTCACAGCAGCTCCAGCAGTGAGGATGCCAGTGCATGCAGGTAAGGGTTGCATTCCCCACCCTCTCCCCCTACGCTCTGTTAGACTGCATCAAATGGTGCTCTGAGCATCCTCCCTATTGCTCTAATTATCAGGTATAGAGAAGGGCAAGGAGAAATGCCACCCCAGTGGGGTTTTGCTTGTTCTAATTGCTCTGCCCCCCTGGCTCCTGGCCCCATCTCTCTTTCCCAGGAAGACCCAGGGACCATTCCTGCAGTACAGAGCCCACTCACACAGCGCCTCATCGTCGTCTTCAGGTTCAGCAGCATGCTGCCCAGGTCGCCCATGCTCTGCTGGTGGCTGGTGCTGGTCTTCATGGCGCGGGGCAGAACCTCATCTGTGTAGAAGCGCAGCATCTCTGACACTGACTGGCAGCCAAAGTTCCCCTGGAGGGGAGGAGAGAGTATGCTGATGGCAATGCTTTTGCAATCTGAACCCCAGCAGCACTGCTCAGAGGCTGGGGATGAGTGTGCATCAGCCCTGCTGCAGGCACCTTGCTGGAAGGAAGGTCCATGTGACAGTGGGAAATATCCCGAATTAGGATCATTTTCCTTTGGTGGAAGGATGCAGAAGGGCAGTGGACTTGCACTGAAATAGTAATCCTTACCTTAAATTCATCCAGCAGTTCAGAGCTGAGCAGTTGGATGTTAAGTTCGTCGTCTCTGGATTGCTGTAGGAGAATGCAATAGAAGAAGTGCTTTATGCAGGCAGCTGTGTTTTCCTCTTTGCCTCTTTCGAGGATTGCTCTGCCTGCTTGCATTTATGCTTTAACCCCACTGCTGGCATCCCTTGAGTCCCCTTTTGCAGGGGCTATCTGTTCCTCCAACTCCTGAGCCCAGGCTGAGCTGATGCTGCGCAGAGCATCACCCCATGGCACCAAAGTGCTCAACAGCTTTTCTGAGAGGTAAGAAACTTTCATTCCTGATATTAATTGAAAGACTTGCAGCAGGCTTGAAGTCTTAAATCCCACTGATCGTGTTAATTTAATAACTAATACAAGCCATGCCACTCATCTGGCTTTTAATCCGGAGAGTTATGTTCCCTTATTGCTAAAGCATGCTGGCAATAGCTGAAGGAGGAACCCTGGGGTGAGCACCCATCCCTGCGGCCCCGCAGCACCAGTGGGTGCTCAGTGCTGCTCTGTATGCAAAGCACTGAGATTTGTCACAAGGCAATCACTCAGGCTTCTGTGGCTCTGTCAGAGAAAGTCTGTAGCAAAAGGTTTCCCTTTTCAGACAGTGCTGGCTTCAGTGAGGCTGGAGCTCATTGCCCTGAAGAATTTAATCCCTTGCTGCTAAGTCAGTGCATGATTTGCTCTGCAACTTTTAGGGGGAAGTCTGCACAATAAGGCTTGCATTATGAAATCTCTGGAGTTCATTATAACTAAAACCAGGAAGAAAAGCCTTTCGTGTTATCTCTCAGCAAGCAGTGAAACCAGAGGGCAGCCCATAGCGCAGCACACGGCCAAATCTCTTCTGCCCGGAGCAACCTGCTGCCCCCTCATCCAAACCACTCAACTCTGCAAAATAACCCCACGAAACAGAAGGAGGTGTCATACTTACAAAATAGTCCTTGATTTCCTCAAACTTCACCCTCAGCTCCCGCAGCCGGATGGGCAGCAGCTCGGAGGAGTGCAGGCAGGTGGACTCCAAGCAGTGGGCAGGCAGGGTGCAAGCAGCCAGCAGCAGCAGCAGGGCCTGGCAGCAGTTCTGCATCCTGGGGTGTTTATTCTGCTGCTGCCCTTGGTTGGGTGCCACTGGAGGGCAAAGCACAGCTCTGCAGACTTCACCTTGATGGAGCCCCTCATTTATACTCTCAAAGCATCTCAGTTTCCTTTCCCCGCTTCCTGAAGAGTGATATTAAGGGTATAAGTCACTCACTCAATAAACCCAAATGTCACTTGGGTTTCCCGTCAACTTTGGGTTTCCTGTTCTCTTGACCCCCCTCCCCTCCTCACTACCCATCAAATCTTTTGTGCTTAGACTCTGCATTTTTTTTTCTATTGCTTGCTTCTTGTAAATTTAAATGAGGCGACAGATACAAAGCGAAGAAGGAAAGGTGCTGTGTGAGCTCACATCTGCATTTCACAGCCACTTTTTATTTTTAGAAGAATGCTCTGCTCTCGGGGGAAGAAGTGTTTCTATATTTAAGTCTCTCTACAGGTTGACACCTCTGATCCCCAGCACTGAGCATCACCCAGCAGCACTGCGTTCAGTGAACCTGTCCAGGTGCTCCTCACTCCAGCATTGCTCTTCCCCAACCTGCTCACACACTGTCACCTCCTTTAGCACTGTGATGCAAGCATGCAACACTCTGAATCTTTCTTTCTTTTTCTTTTTAATGGAGTTAAAACAAAGTCAGTGTGATGCTCCAGCTCTCAGCCGATGTTTTACCCAGGCATTACCACGGTCAGCCCTGTGCACAGCGCATGGAGACACAATGGGGACTTGGGCTTCTGGTGTCAGTTCTGCATGCTTCCCTGCTAGTAATGATAGCAACTATCACTTTCTTGAAGTGTTTCCTAGCAGCACGTGCTGAGTTTTATTGCACTGTATCATGGGACCCACTCTTTGCACATTGATGTGCTCTGCTCACGTGTCCAAGCTGAACACGAAACCTTTTCTTTCTTGTTCTTGCATGCAATTTTGTTTCCAAGAAATGGACAACAATCCCAGCTGAGCCCCCAGCTCCATGAACCGGGTGTGCTCTCCTCCCCACTGATAAAAGTGACCATTGCAGTGCTGAAGATATCTCCACTGACGTCTCTCTTCCGTTTTCCTTTCTTTCATGCTCTCTTTCTGCACAACTTTATACTTGTTTCCTTTTGGTGATAAGGCTGTTATCCAAGAAAGAGAAAGCAGAGATTAACTTGGCCTTTCTGGGGGCTTCTTTGAAAGCTTTTCTGCTATCTGGAAGTGGCATTCTCTTCATGCTGCCTCCAGCTTATTGCCTGGGACAAATCACTCCAATTCTCATTTCTTTCACTGCCCTGAGCCTCCTTCAGTGTGAATTTGCAGACCTCTGTGAAGGAGCGTGTTACAACTGACGCTGGAAAAATGCAAAGCATTCCTTATACCATATATTTAGATTTCATTTAGAAAATGAAAGAGAGGAAAGTTTTGTGTTAGAACATGCATGAGTAAGGGCAGATGAATTATGTATTTGTAATCAGGTGAGGTAACTTCTCTAAACACAGCACTGAGGGGTTTTGCCTGGTTTGTTTTCCTTCTGTTGGTGTTGCACCTTTCCCAAGGGCCGGGAGGGAGAGTTTTCCCAGTGAATCACTGCATGGGCACAGAACTTCTATCTGAATCAGAGCACGTCATGGGGACCGTGCCCTGCTTTTCTTCCCCTGTTTGCGTGCCTCGGCGCGGTTTCTTCCCTTGACCACCAGCAATGAGGTTTGGAGGCCATGAGGAAGGAGAAGGGCAGCAGCTGACTCAGACCAAAATGTGTGGTGTTAAACATAACCCGTGTCACTGGTGCTGTCTCACAGCTCTGTGCTTTCACCCCAAGCTGCAAGATCTTATTTTGCATCCACTCCAAGCTGCCTCAGGTTGGTAGAGCCGTGCAAGCAGGACCCGGTGGCCTCTGAGTTCCATGGGGAAACCAAAAAAACAAAACCTGACGTGGCAGCACCTGGATCTCACCCCGTTCTCTGCGTATGCGCAGCTGGGGCCAAAGCGGTGATTTCAAGCCCCCTGGGTCGGTGCAGTTTGGGGAACCCTGCTTGCAGACCGGGCCACGCTTGCAGGGCGGCTCAGCGCTGCGCTCGCGGCTCGGCGTCGGCATGGCGAGGCTCGGGCTCTGGCCATGGTGCTGACTGAGGGGTCCCGGCCCGGGGTCGTCCCACACTTTCCTTCCTGCCCGAGAGCTGAGCTCATGTTTCCAAACTTCCCTTCTTCTCAGCAATCGTTGCTCTCCGTGAAGTCATCTCGGTTCGACACCCAGACCATACTGAGCAGCTCCCTTATGCAGTTCCCTCCTCCCTGTTTTGGAACCTGCTTTGTTTTTCAGCTGCACAGCGTGTAAGCCAGTTGCGTCCATTCCACAAAGGAAACTGCCCTGCGCACGCACGATGCTCGCTGTGTTTACCTGTGTTTCCTTCGCCATGGCAGAGATTTTGACGGTGCAGTTTCGCTCTGACTCACCACTGCTTACTGCTGTGGAAACGCATTGACTCTGCAGTACTACAAAGCATTTGCATGAATGAATAAAGCACCTTTCCTAAAGAGTGTCCGAGGACGTGGGTGTATTTCTAAACCTTTAGGAAACAGCTTTCATGATTGCCAAGAAGATCATTTCAGGAAGGAAATGTTACTCAAAAGCCTTTTGCACTCTTTGATGCTGGCAGCTTCCATATGGACAACTTCTCCCATTTTTTTTCCCCCCTGGGTCTCAATCATTGCCTTTGGACAAGGGAACATGGTGTATTTTATGCACTATTATAGATATAGCTGCAGGAATTGCCTAGATTTCCAGGCTGCTTAGCAGCATGTTTCTTACCCCAAATTCCCCACTTCTCATCCATTTCTATTTGCTGTCAGTGACGCCAGGGAAGTGGAGGCTTTGCTGCCCTTCATTCACCCACTACGAAACACCCATTGGCTCTCTCGGCAGCACCCTCTCTGATGACTAACAGTTCCTGACACATGAAACACACTGCTTTTCCTTCATGATCTTTTGCCGTCAAGGTACAAAACTGGACTTTTCAGTTCTGGAAAGCAGCTTTCTAGCACTTGTTGGAATTTGCAGCTTGACTCATCCCAACCTCAACAGGTAAATCCCAAATTACTCGATGGCAATTTAACCCACGTCATTAATTGTATCGTCAATTGTAACCTCTAAGAGTCCCAGAATCGATTACTAATCATGAATAGGCACTTCGTTGTGACCTCTAATGCAACTTCTACTATGACACAGTCTTACATAAGAATTTCTTGGTAGGTCCTGAACTTCCATCTGAACTAAACAAAACTGGAATCCTATCCTAAAGACATTGGGCAATGGAGATTTTGAACTTGCGATATCTTTTCCGATGAGGTGAAGGAGTGAGCTCTCAAAAGTCATAGAACTGAATGGATTTTTCTAAGTAGAGTCTAAATAGAATTTCTAACTGGAGTTTCTAGAGTCATTAGGAATGGTGCTGAGCACTGTTCAGTGCTGTGTTGTTTAACCAGCAGCAGCTCAGCACCAAGCAGCCCTTCACCCAGTGGGATGGGGGAGAGAATTGGAGAAAAAAAAGAAAGAAGTACAGATGAAGTAGAAATTAACTGTTTTCTAAGGTAGAAAAAGAAGAAAGAAGCAGCAGTAATGATGACAATAATATATACCCAAGGAAGTGATGCAGAATGCAGTTGCTCACCACCTGCTGATCGATGCCCAACCAGTACCTGAGCAGCAGCTGCCACCTAGCCAGCTCTCCTCTGTTTTATAGCTTTCAGCAAGATGTCATATGACACAGCACATACCTTTGGCCAGTTAGATCATCAACCCCCCCTACACCCCTCGCTCCTTGTCTCCTTGTGCACTTCAGCTCATTTCCTGCAGGAGAGTAGAGAGTACAAGAAGCTGGAAGACTGAAACACCCCTGACTCTGAGCAGCACTGCCCAGCAATGTCTAAAAGATCAGTGTGTTACTAATATAGTTTTTCTCCTCATCTCAGACACTGTGAAGGAAATCATCTCTGCCAGCAGGTACAAGACCAGCATGTCATGGTGAGCTGCAGCTGACAGCACCTTGGTGGTGCCACCTTCCCAGCCCTGCGCTCCCAAATGCTGGGCATGAAGCCGTGGGTTTTTTTTTTGCTCATTGCATGCAGCAGAGCAGTTGAGAAATCCTGGGTTTTCTCTGCCAGCCCATAATGCTCAGAGCAGCACGTGCTGGTTGTGATGTACTGTGGGCACGCGTTGTGCCCGTCACCCCACAGCCCCTGGGATTCCCCCCGTGCCACTGTCACCTGCCCCCAATGGCAGTGGGACGGAGTGGGGGGGACTGCCCATCTAGCACTGCTGTGAACTGGGCATGGGTTTTGGTGACATGGTATCATTGGACAGCATGTGGTGTCCGAGTCAGGCTGAATTACAGCTGATATTTCCAAGGCAAAGCCAAGGAATGAGTTTCACGATGCAGATTCCCAGTAAAGTCACCCCAGATTTGCTGCTGGCACTTCTGCTCCTTCAGAAAACAATGCAGGAAAATAGAATTGCTCAAGTTTTTTGTTCTCTTGCATTTTCTTATTTTAAGCTGACAGCGTGAATTTAGCAGCCACTTTTTAGTTCCCCCAAACTGGGAGATCCATGGTGACCGTGGGCTGCACTTTGCTTCTGTGCAATATAATCAGCATTTGACCCCCTGTGTCAAATGTAGGCAGAGATTTCTGAAAAAATATAGTGTCCACACGAATGCAAGCATTCTCATTAAATGTAAAGTACTTCCTGCTGGGTGCTTAGAGTGCAAACATGCAAAGATCAGCAAGAGGAGAGCTGCAGCAGCGCTGCTTTCCATGTCCCTTTGGACATCCGTAAGTGGGAAGTTGGAGATGAATCTGAATGGTGGAAACCCCCCCAGTGCTGAAATAAAAGCTTAAAAAAAGAAGGGGAGGGGGGGGAGGGTGGAAAGAAGAAGAAAACAAATCAGAAGTGAACTTCCCCCACTGGCTGCTGCCTGCTTGGGACAGAGAAGCGTGGCCATTTGTTTTCTTTTCCTCCTGTCTGACCACATGTTTCCAAAACTGTGAAGTCGAGGAAGAGCTTTTGTTGGTGACTTTGTGTGAGGCAGAAATGTGCCTCAATGGATGGAGTCGCCTTTTCCAAGGGTTTGTATGGAGAGGCACACGATGGGGGTGGGACAATCCCTGTGCCCTGCTGGGGAGAGCAATGTGAGCGAGCCATTTGCATGGTGGAATCCTTCCTGGAAACGTTTCCCATGTCGATTTGCCACATTTTCTTTTTCTTTTCACATTTCCATTAAGAAATAATATGAGATGGGAAATCCTTCGCTCTCTCCCTCCTTCTGTGCTCCTCCCTGTGGGCACAAAACCTCGAGGCTGTGAAATCTACACCCTGAGCTGCACTCAGGGCAATATTAACCCCAAACTGAAACTTGCATGTGAGCATCGGGTGATGCACAGCTCATGCACTGAAACGTGTTTCGGTTTTGGTGAAAGGTAAGTGGATGGGAGTTCTGCCTGACCATCGGGATGATTCATTTGTTCCCCAGATAATTGAAAAATCAAGCTGATAGCTGTCAGTTTCTCCTTTATTAGGCATCATTTAGTGCCTGCGCTGTCAGCACGTTTCGCGCTCACAGGCAAACGTGGTTCTATGAGGCACAGTGCTCAAACGTGGGGCTGAGTGAAGATATCTGAAAGAATGCAGCTGGCAGCTGCTCCCTCCTCTCCTGGACGTCTCTGCTCAATTCTAAAGCTGCACCATTCAGAGATTTGTCTGCCCAAAGCCTGCAGGGAGTGGAGGTGACTTGGTAAAAGCAGTCCCTCTGGGTACCAGTTTCCACAGTGGCTGCACCCGGTGCATATCACAGTATTTCCAGGCTGGTCTGGGCTCTGAGCAACCTGATCTAGCTGCAGATGTCCCTGCAGGGGAGTTGGACTCCATGATCTTTAAAGGTTCCTTCCAACCCTAAGGAGTCTACGATTCTATATGGCCTGCTCTTACTTATGGAGGACATGACCTCCATGCTACATTCCAGGGCTGTCATTTGTATTGTCAAAATGAAGAGCTTTTCCCCTGTTGTGGCTGTGTTTCATTTAATCCCCCTTGTTCACCACCCCCATCCATTGCAGGGCACCCACAGACCTGGGCACTGCTTCTCTTCTCCAATGTGAACTTGATGGGACCCCTCCACACTGCAGGAACACACAAAACACTGCAATAGATGGTAACAAAAAAATGCAAATCCTGATTGCAGCTCTGGTTGCAAGAGAGGAAAAAGGTTTGAAATTAGAACTAAGCGTATTACACCCAAATTCTACAGGGAAAATGAGTATGGGGCCTCTTGTGGGTTTTGAAAGTAGAGGTCAGTGTGCTTCAATTGCTTTTCATGCACAGCTCTGCCCCCAAGGAACACTGTATAGTACAGTTTCATTTCCCCACAAGAAGCTGAGCCCTGCTGCCATTGCAGCTTTGTGTTGCTGCCTCCTCTTGCCTTGCATCACTGTCACCATTTGTTAGACAAGCCCAGTTGCTAATATGTCAGACACCCACATCAAAAAGCTCCTGAAACCTGCTGGAAACTGAGAAGCCTCATTGATTAAGGCTGGGTTTAATTTCGTTGGCTGATTTGAGTCTCTGATATCAGAGATGTGTTTGTTTGAGAATGGGTGCGTAGCTCAGCATGGGTGCTGAACTTTGCACCGTGCATCAGTGGGAGCTTTCATTCATGCTCAGCAGCAAGGCAGTTTTTCTCAGGCTCTTTAACCCCAATTTGTGCTGCAATGCTGATTTTCTTAACACGATGGGGAAAAGGGAAGAAACCAACCATCAAAGCTCACTGTGAAATCTTGATGAGACGATCACGAGCACACCGTGTGCTCAGGCAGGGACTGCAAAGCCTGAAGGAAACCCTGCAGGCTGCTGTGGGATTGGGGCAGGAGTTCTCTGAGAGTAATTTGGCTCCTCATCCAACTCCTGGAGTTGGCAGGAGTGAGTTCCCTGCCTCATACACGCTTGGTGCACCTGCCAGGATTATGATGTTGAGACGTGCCTTGTGAGTTTCCCTTTGAGGAAGATGGAACTGATGACAACCAGAACACGAGTTCATGCTTTATCAAAGCTGGGTTAGCAAGTATTTAACCCTCACCACCCCCCACCCTCCTACTCTGGTGACTAAATTAATGGTTTTCTTCAGAACAGCCGTGCCGATGCACAAAACCCCTCCGCAAAGATGAATCTTAGAGGAAAAAAAATAAAAATCTCTATTTTTTTTTTCTTTTTTTTTTTTTTTTTTTTTCTTTTTTGCATTTATTTTTAACCTCTCTATGTAAAATCCTGGCTTGGTGGCAGCACTGCCAAGAATGAATCATTTGTGTGACATCACACCGGCACGGTGAAGGCGGTGGCTGAGGCAGCGGCAATTTCTGTGACGTGCAGCCAGGATTTGGGGGACAGCCAGCAAGGACAGCAGGACCCCCAGAACATGAGAACTTGTGGGGATGTGCTGTTGCTATCCTGCATGGCTGAAAGAGCTGCAGGGTGATGGCGTCCCCCAGAGGATGCTCTGCAGTGGGGTGGTGTCACACTGTGGGGATGCTCCCCCAAAGCCCTGTGGAGGTGTTGGTGGTGGGGCACGCGCTGCTCTGTCTGCACGTGTGATAAGCAGTGACATCCCTGGGCTGTGTGTCGGTGTCCTGGCCTTCCAGGTGAAGATAAACTTGAGGAAAGAGCCATGCCTGGCAAGGTGGAACACCTACAGGACATTCCAATGACAAACTTTAGGGCAGCAGCTGTGGGTAGAGGATGAATTAAGTTTTTGGGCACCTTTCACATTCACCCTGATGTGACCCCCGGCACTGCCACCCTGCTGATGGCAATCTGGGCATCAGTGTGGGTCTGTCTCCCTTTGGGCATCACTTGTCCCTGGTGCTCCGGGTGAAGCTGAGCCTGGGAGGCAGAGAGCAGCATAATTTCAGAATTATTAAAGTGGTTTTGGTTAGAAACGTGACTGAGAAGAGGGCACACTCCACACCACACCTATCAGCCAATTACTCCGCGCAGAACTCTGAGTCATTTGACGAGTTTACCGAGAAAAACAATTTTCTACTTTTGTCAGCAGCTGTGGCTGAGCGGGCGGTGCTGCTCTGATAGCAGCTCCCTGGTTTCAGTCGAAAATGGATTGCACTCATTAAGAGAGAGCAGAGCAGTCAGATTTTCAGGGCTTGGATAGAGCACAGCAGAAGGTTTCCATGCGAGCAGCAGCTTACGAAGCACGGTGCTGAGGTGGGGATTGTCCTCAGGGCAACCCCAGGGTTTGGAGCCCCCTTAGCTCCAATGGGGCTTGAGATGGGCTCTGGATTTGAGGGTCAGGCAGTAACTTCATGATGACCCTTGACGTATGATGGGGTCTTGGTTAGCTGCAGGATCACCAATGGAGATGGCAAACTCTACCCTGTGCTTTTCTCCAACATTTGCCCTGCCTGGCTGAGTTGGTTTTTGTGGATGCTCTCCTGATGCGTGGCACAAATTGCCCCCTTAGCTCTGATATGGTTGCAGCTCTCTGCTATTACATCTGGATTTTTCTTTTATTAAAATGAGTGCTGGCATTTCTGTCATTCATGTTATCTCATTCTGGTGATCTGTGTATAAATCATTATCAGCTTCAGATCTGATATGATGGAGTACCTAAAACTGCTGTGAAATGAGTAATGCAACCAAACGACAAACCAAGGATGGTCTGCAAAGCATTATCAGCTCTTATAGCATGAAACTACATTGAGATGTGCTATTGAAACATGCATTATCACTCTGAAATCCTTTACTGGAAATCTAGACTTAACACATGTATGTGGTCAGTCATTGACAGAGCAGCTCCTATTCAGGTCAAAGAATCTTGCTGGTGTTTTTTATTTATTTATTTATTTTTGTTTGGTTGCTTTTTAGGGTGAAATAAAAGCTTCTGGATCTCTGAATGACTGTGGTGTTGGGTCAGCAGGGGCTGCTTGAAGTGCTGCTCAAAGGCTGCTTTCCTCTTTTGATTTCAGATTTGGAGGCAAATTAGTGATGCAGAGGGCTTGTCCTCTTACCTTGTAACCCCTGATCGTGGCGACAGTGGAGATGGCAAAGCCTAGCATGTACTGCTGTGACAAGTTATTTGGGTCCAGCTGCTTTCTGTGCTGCCAGGAAGGACAGAACAGAGCCACATCCCCAGGGTGCAGCCACACATCAAGCCTGAATGACGCTGGAGGTGCCCCAGGCACCCAGTTCCCACTCTACCGTCTGATCTCAGCTGCATCATCACACTGTGCTTCAAAAATCCCTATTTCTTTTTTCCTCTTCCTTCCCAGAGAACATGAGCCACAGCTTGCTGGTTTATTGGGCAGATTCTGCTGCAGTTGGCACGTGGTCCAGATCCTCTGCTGTGTGTGCTGAGAGGAGAAAGCAGAGCATCACCCATCACCTATTGGCTTCCCTAAAGAGTGGATTTTGCATTGAGTTTCTCACTCACTGGTGCTTGGCTCACCTGCCTCCTGGGCACCAGTTACCAAAAAGGAAAAAGTTTGGTTACCAAAAGGAAAAAAGGAGAAGACCTTTCTTTCATCTGCAATTTACATAATGAAGTAAGAACTCACTGCTCTTCCTTCGTTTCCCTGCAGGGCTGGGTGTGCAGTGGATGTCTGGGAAGCTGCAGGCACGTTTGGGTTCTTGCATGCCTCTTCCTCTGCTCTGAGCAAAACTTTTGTTGCAATTTTACGAGCAGCAGCTGGGGATTTGGAAAGGAAGGTGCAGATAAGAGGGCATGTGCTGCTCAGGCTCGCTCCAAAGCTTCGACAAGATGACATGCAGCCTGAGGTGGGTTGGAGCTGCCTTTGGCTGGTTTCCTATGTAGGGACCAGGGAAGAATGGTGAGTGCATTTGTGGCCATTTTAGCTGTATGCAATACAGCGATCAGCCTGGGCATAAAGCCTATTTGCCTGCCCTGATGTGATGATGGATTGAGTTTCTTTATCAATAAATTACTCACCCAGCAAAACCCAATGGCCCACAGATGTTCACACCCCATCCCTGCATTGCAACAGTGATGTCTCCAGGCTGCTGCTCTGCACCATAGGATGGAGGTGCCCCCAGGTCCACCAGTGCATGCATCCCCATTGGGTACAGGCAGCCTGAGGAGTTTATTTAGGCTGCTCATTAGTTTAGGGGCTGAGCATGGCTGTGTCCAGCAGGAATGAACTACCAACCAGCCTGGGCTGTGTGTAATGGTCACCTCCATTACCTGTGCTCTTGGAAACCATCTCATGGCCCCAGGATGTTGTCTCAAAGTTTGTTGCACCCAGGCATCTCTGTTCCCCAAACACTGGGGACGTACTTGAGGATATGAGCACCCACACATCCCAGGAGCAAGCCTAAGAGCCAGGTCCCCCTAAAACAAAGGATAAAAGTCCCACATGCCAGGACAGTGCTGGAGGGGGCTCAGCATCTTCCCAACCCCTGCTGCAGGTCCAGATGCCTCCCACCCAGGGACAACCCAGTGGCTGGAGCTGCCACCCCAGCGCGGTGCTTCCCCTCACTCCCATCCTCCCAACGTTCTGTGCCAGCATCTCCCGCCCCCAGATGGTAGGGAAACACCTGTGGGTGAAGGAGTCAGTCCCTATCGCTGGCTAATTAATTCAGTGAACTGCAAAGGGAAATAGGTGCCGGGAAAAGCAAGAAAAACCCCAAAAGTTAATCCATGAGCTGTTTCCTCCCAGCGTCTGGATAAAAACGTGTCCTTCGGAGCTCTTTGGGACAGACGTCGGCAGGACGGATTGACCTGTGCCAACAGAGCAGGTAAAGTGCTGGTTTTATCCTCCCATCATGTGTCTGTATCTCCTGTAACGAGGTTTTGTAAGGGCTTTATTTATGAATGCCACTGTGAACACAACCCACATTTGAAGTATCCCTGCTGTTCCATAGGGAAAGCGTTCTCCCTTGGGAACAGCCTTTGGGGTCTGCTGCTTTTGGTCACGCTTTCAGCCCTGCTGTTCCAGCTTAATTTACCCGTGCTTATTTTTTGTTGAGATTTGTCTGTTCACCTGCAATTTTTGCTGTTTTTTGTTGTTTTTTTTCCCCCCCCTATTTCTTTCTTTTGGAATCTTTTAGGAACTCTTCCTTCTTAGTTTTTCTCTCTTGTAACTGGCAAAGAAGAAATGTATAAGAGCTATCAATCAGTGTTGCTTTCAAACATACTTACATGCATGTGTACCACCAGTACTGTATAAAACGTGTGTTCCAGAAGTAGTTTAGCTGTTGGCATGTCCCTACAAACCTCCCTGTCAGATGTATGTTCTCCCTGCAGTCTCATTTAGTCACTTTTGTCTATGAGGTGAGCAATGAATGCTGAAATGATTTGTTGGAAATCTTAGTAAGAACTTTGTTGTTTTTTTTTTTCTTTTGATTTTGATTTTTATGTAGAGGGAAGATTGTGAGGATTCTCAACAGGTGCTGCAGGCATGCTGGGCTCCCGTGTGCTGCTCTGCCTCTGCTCCATGACCTGCTGCCTCACCCTGCTGCCGGCAGCTGGGAACACGATCCTCCGCTTTGGCCCCTGTAGGATTTCAGAGAGCATGAGTGAAATCAGGGCTGGCTTCATCGCCATCAAAACCAACATTGTAAGTCCTGCTGTGGGCTCCTGGGGAGCAGCTTGTGTTCCCATAGCCCTGCAGTGCCAACAAGTCCCTCATTGCATCTCTCTCTTCCACACAGCAAGCCCGGGACCCCATCAGGACGCTGAGCATCCTCTCCCATCCACACTCCCTTCACAGGGTCCAGGTGGGTGCCATCAATGTCCTGCTATGCTTCATTCCTCCCTGCTAACCATGTTCAGGGCTGGGAGCTGCTGGGTGGTGCAATGGCGTCTGAGTTCCTGTGAAGTGCATGAGAAGAAAGGGCAGGGCAGGGAGGAGGGGTGATGTAAAGGCATGAAAGGAGCTGGGGGTCCTGCAGTGGTTTCTGCATGGAGAGAGCTTGATGCTTCTCCAGAAATGTGCACAGCACCCAGGTGGGTGTCCAAAAACTGGGAGACACAGGGCAGGAGAGAGACAGGAGCAATGGGTGGTGGAGGACAGCGTAGGTTGCACTGTTCTGAAGGGATGGGAAGGGCAGGGAAGGGTCTTGCTGGTGTTCCTCACCCTTCTTTCTCTGCAGGGTGGTGAGCTGAGAAATACAAATAAGGCTTTTGCAGCTCTCCTGCTCCAAGGCACTGCACTTGGGCCACTGCTTCATGCCTCTAACACTCAGCTACAAAGCCAACTCATGGGTTTGGTCACTCAGAGAGGCACCCTGAGGGTGGGACTGCAAAATCACTCTATATCTGTTATCAGCGTACCTCAAGCAGAGCTGGAGAAGGTTTATACACCACTGTCAGCTCCAGTGATGGGTGGCGGAGATGTTTTCTTCTAGCAGTGGAAAGAAGGGCTGTGCCCAAGGGTTTGAAGCACATGGGAAAAGAGGAATTTGTCCCTTAAGCCTTCAGATAAATGCTGCATGGTCCACAAGGTCTTCAACTTCTACGTGGACAAAGTCTTCAAGCACTGCCAGACTGAGAATTCCTACATCAACCGAAAGATCAGCAGCATAGCCAACTCCTTCCTCAGCATCAAAAGGAAACTCGAGCACTGTGTGAGTCTCATGCTGCTGAAGTTTAGTTTCAGCTTTGGCATTCGGTATGCAAATAAACCCAAGCGTTTCATAAGTTACAAAATCTTTATTTAGAGGAAAGCTCTTAACAAGAATAGGAAGAAGAACGGTGAGAAGGGTTTGTGCCTTCATTGAGAAATTGATGTATGTGCTCATTCACTGCCATGGCAGTGACCAAAACCAGCACTGGGTCTGCCTGGGTGAACTGCTCTCAATGGAGCCTGATTTCAGGTCCTCAGATGGGTTCTCTGTCTGTGTTAAAAGCAATCTCTCATCCTTAAAATGCTCGTGTTCAAGAAACGTGTAGGTGTTGTACTAAGGGACATGGTTTGGTGGGGAAGCATTGGTGATGGATGGTCGAACTGGATCATCTTGGAGATCTATTGCAACTTTGGTGATTCTGTGATTGATTCTATGATTGATTTTGTGATTGATTCCATGAAAATGAAACCCTCCAGCTTAACAAATTTAATTTTGTTTTTCTAGCATGATGAAAACAAGTGCTTGTGTGGACAGGAACCCACTGAGAGATTTAAGCAGATACTTGTGAACTACGAAGGGGTAAGCTGATGATTAAGCCCAGTAATTAATGCAGCTATTCAGCCCCATTACACTTGGTGGTATCACAGTCTTTGCAACCTGCTCCTTTACATCCCTTTCAGCTGAACGTCACATCTGCAGCAATGAAATCCCTGGGCGAGCTGGACATCCTGCTGGACTGGATGGAGAAATCCCCATAGAGAGGAACCACGTGCTAACAGAGCTGCTGGGGGGCTGCACACCTCGGGAATGCACTGCCCCAGAGCCATTCCTTGCTGACTGTTTGATCAAGCACTGAGTGTGCTGTCAGGCACAGGAACAGGCACACGCATCCACAGGGTCTTGCATTTGGATGGCAATGTGGAGTTGGCTTGAATCAACAGAGAGTTCACATCTCTGACTTCCATCAAACGACACTTTCCAAAGGGAGAATTTTAAAGAGTTCTCTTTGGCAGGCAATAAGCTATGATAACTTAATAAAAGTATTGTTTGAATTATCAACTCTTTGCATGAGGGCTGTGTGTTCATGAGCACCGAGTGCCTGGCTGAGCTGCTTGCATAGAGCTGATGTTACAGAGCTGCATTTACCACTCTGGGCTCAGCTCTGTCTGAAAGGAGGTGATGGGTGACAACCACTTGCAGAATAGGTCCTTGCAGGTACTGCAAGCCAAGGAAATCTGTGTTTCCTTTCCAGGTGATGTTTTCTGCAGTATCAGTGAAATGAAGTGTTCTATGGAAGATATGTGGTTGCTGAATAGAAGTGTGCATTTACTGACAGTGTGCATTTACTGACAGTCAGCAGGAGGTTTGTGGAAGGCTGATGCGCTTACTGTAAACAAAGCCAGCCTGAAACTGTGCTGAGTTTGCACTGAATTCTATCAGAATTCAGAGGAATTACATTTCGAGTTGGTGAAACTCAGAGCTCGCCGTGGTGCCCTCTCAGAGCCGGCACAGCCCCTGCGATCAGATGCACCACTTAACCTATGGCCGTGGCTCTAATGCCTAGCAACTTCTCTTTCTAGGAAAGAAAAACCCACCCACCAGTGATGTTGGGTTATTCGTAAGAGCAGTCAGGAAGCAGAAGGTGTCTGATTTTGTTTGCTTTTAGATGTGAGTGGATGTGCTGGTGGAGGCGAAGCACAAGGTTTCATCCTGCAGCAGTGGGGCTGCAAGGGGAGGAGGAGTGCCCTGCACTGCACCACCCCCCCTCCCCCCATGCTGGAAACTCCAAAATGTAAACTGGAGTGATGTGAAACCAGCCCTGTTTGTCCATGGGATCACTTCCATTGTGCACGACGGATAGCCTCCCGTCCCTCTTTTGGGCTCTTTTACCCTCAAGTGGCTGCACACGCAGAGATCGCTCACCATCCTTGCTCACATATTTGCTTATGCCAGAAAGGAAGTGCTTCCAGGGCCCTCCTTCACCTCATTTACTTTCCCATGTACAGCATTTTGCAGTGTGACTTCCATTCTCCTTATCCATGTACTCAACCCCTGCAGAGGAAAGGCTGCCCTGAGGCAGGTGGAGGAGGAAACTGCTTCACAAAGGGACAGAGAAAGGGGTTTTCTCCTGCTGGAGATTTCCAAACCACAGCATTCTCCTGCAGCTGTATTGCTGCTCAGCCCCTGGGGACGTGCTTCCTATTGCACCAGAACTGTTCATTCACTTCCAGCAACCACGGGCAGGCACAGACCCATCCTGTCCTTGCTGCTCCCACTGCTGCCCCGTGCCGTGGAGGGGAGGATGCAGCAATGCTCCTTATTCCGTATGTTTTACCACTTTCTGTCAGAGATGCACATAAACAGGACAGAACCAGGGAACCTGAGCAAGTCAGTGCTATTTCTGTCCATCCCCTCCATCCTCTCTGCCTCTCACCACCCTGGCTGCTGCCTGGGGATGTGCAGAACTTCGCGTGTTCAGGGCAAATTGCTGCTTCTTTGTCACATCTCCATCCTCGCTGCTCCTGCAAGGCTTTATCTGCGGGGTGTTTGGCTCTCTTCACCAGGATCTGACCTACAGGCAGCAGCGTGGCCATGCACAAATAAATTGCTTTTCTCTGTTGAATAACCCACTCTCAAGGATAAGACCAGGAGACAACACTGTTTTAATTACAGTCATCATTGCTTCTGCCTGGACAAGCACAAAACCAGCCAGAGAGGCTGACCGCTGGTGCCTATTGCTTAATCAGTTAAACGAATTGTCATATTAATTAACACCATTCTGTGCTTTCCCCTTGCTCTGCCACAGACTGAGAGCCCATCTGGTCTGCTGAAAGCTGCTTGTATCTTTATTGGACATGAACAACCCCAGGCACTCCTGGTCTGCAGCTGCTGCCCTATGACCAGGAGAGCAGAGGGGAATCAAAAGCAAAAGGCATTGCCCTAAAGAGATTTCCAGGGAAAAAAAAAAAAAAAAAAAAAAAAGAGATTATAAAAAAAAGATTTAAAAATACATTTCTTGTAGTCTTTGGGAGCGTCGAAGAGGGCCCTGGCTACGCTGGTGATGCTGGGGCTCAGCCTTTATGATTCTGGCTGAATCTCTGCTCCAAGCTGAATTTAAAGACGGAAAATCAAGCAATAGCAAATGGGGGCAGCAGCAAGCAGCGCAGCAGGCTGAGCTCTAGCAGTGAGCCCCATAGCAGAGCCTGCCCCCAGTGCATGTCCCCATCCCTCGCCCTCACACCGAACCACCCCACAGAGGGGGGGCCTCAGCCGGGGCTGTGCTGTCCCCCACGGAGCTCTGGGTGACACTGCTGGGGGTGAGGAGCGAGGCCGAGTAGGCGAGGTCAGCATCCTCCTTGGAGCCCTGCAGGAGGGAGGATGGAGGACATGGTGAGGGGTGATGGTCAGCGGTGGGGAGGGGGAATGTGTGGAAAAGCATCGCTTATCTTTTGGCTTGGTGCACAAATATTGCATGAGCTTGTGGGTTCTCGAGGCAGGAAATAGCTGCAGAAGCTATTTAGGTAGAAATCTGGGGCTCCTGGCTTTGAGGAGGACCTCTGCAGAGATCTGGTTCAACTCTTGGCACTCGCAACTACAGCTAACCCATGGTTGAGGGTTAAAAAGAGTTGCTCTGAGCTCGTGCTGTGTGTTGGTACCACACTGGCAGCACAGGCTCACCCAGGGCAGGGCAGGGCTTGGGGTACGTGGGCTGGAAGGGGTTACAGCACCCCGGTGGCTGATCTGCTGCAGGTGGGAGACTCAGCCATGATGGAGGCAGCTGGCTACAAATAGGGCCCAGGGGCTGGGGCAGCTGTTTTGGTGATGCTGCAGGGCTGCATTGGGGCTGCAGGTCAGTGTGCTCCCTCCCACCTCCCCTTACCCGTTTTGCCTTCTTTGTCTCAGCGGTGCTTTCAATGTTGGCTGTGTTGGTGACAAATTCTGCACAGACAGAAAGGCAGATGTTAGAGGGTGATGTCTCAGCAGCTGCTGGGCTTCTACAAGCCCTTGCTGCTTTCTCCAAAGCTTGGGGTTCTGAGCAGTGCCGTACCATCCCCTCCCAGCTGAGTCTCCTGGCTCTGCTTCATGCACATGTTGTCATTTGCTCCGTACTCCCTTGCGTTCTCAAAGTCTGACATGCTGATGTTGGTCCTGTAGCTGCCCACCGACACCAGATCTGTGCAGGAGAAGCATTCACAGTGGTACTAGGAGCAACTCCAGCCGACACACTGCCAGCAGGCTGTCTTCATCTTAATACTAGTGACACTTGAGGGCTTACACAGGGCAGGGACTCACCTGATCGCCTGATCTGACGATATTTAAAGACGGCAAAAGCTATAGCAAGGACCAGGAGAGCTGCACCAATGGGGCCCAGGATTAAAGCAAGAGTGGTGGAGCCAGAGCTTTGCTCAGAGCTGGAAGAGAGGAAGGTGGAGCACTGAGCTGTGCAGAGCATTTTCTTACAGAATCATTCTGGACTGTACAAGCTACATAGATTTCCATCTGTCTAAAAGTCTATATAAGATGGTAGATCTCAGTGAGTGTGATGTAATCTAACTAATGAACTGATCCGAGCACATCACAGGAGGATAAGTGAAGGTGCTGGATGGAGGTACTGCCCAAGAAGCTGCAGTAGCAGTTGAGTAATAGATGTGTGAAGGAAGGCTCTCTGATCTTGACAAAAATGCTTAAAATTGACTTTTCTGTACCTGGAATTTCCAATTGTTTCCTTCTGAGACTGTGTTTACACTTATCTAGAGAGTAATTCCAAGCTTTTAGCTGTGACTTTTTGCTCTTTCTGTTGCTCTGAGCTTATTTCTTTGGAGAAAAACATTTTCTTCATTGCTAAACTACGTGCAGAGTGTGCAAGCAGCCTGTCAACAAGAAGTTAACTTTGCAAAACCAATACGTGAGAGAGGCTGGGGAAGGACTGACCTTTCTGAGGCGGCTGCCCTTTGCACCCCAGCATCACTGTTGGCTCTGCCCTGCAGAACAGCCCCACCAGGAGCAGCAGTATTGCTGGCTTCCAGATCCAGGAGCTCCGGGCTGATCTTGGCAGCTTTGCCTGCATGGTGGAGGTAAGAAGGGTGGTGAGATTTGAGCACCCTAAAATATTGCCTAAAGCTGACGCTGAGCCCCTTGTTTGCTCACAGGGAGCTGGGGACAGCTCTTCCTTTCTCCCTCCCAGTGCTTTCCCATCTGTAATGATGAATGGGAGCTACACACAGCCCTTTGTGTGACTGATGTTGGAGGCTGCATCATTTCAAGCGACGCTATGACTTGTGAGAGCAGCTATTAGTGAAGATGGGGTTGAAAATGGTGAGGGAAGAAGTGACTGTGGGACTGGAAGGATTTTGTGAATGGGAACCAAGACAGCCGGTCTGGGAGAGCCCACATTTGGGAGTGTTTCTGTTTTGAGGTGCTGCAACCTAGTGGACAAGGAGAGGACTCTTCCCAGCCGATGCTCCACCCCCCGAGCTTCGTTCCCTGGGGCTCACCTCCATCCACCTGCAGGGACACTGCCATGGTCTCCCCATAGTGGCCATCACGTCTCACCCCACACCAGTACCACCCCTGGTCCTCCACGTCCACAGAGTCGAGGCTCAGGATGAGTGTTTTGTTGGCAGTGTCACAGCTGACATCCAGCCCTGGTTGGCTTTGGTCAGAAGCAGTCAGTGGGGTGCAGCCATCTCTGCTCCACTTGCACCAATACTTCTCATAGGAGTAGTATCTGCATGAGTAGGAACACGTCAAGTCCACCCGTGAGCCCACTTCTGCCTGCA